GGCCAGCCCGGGAACCACTCTGCAGCCTCCTGGAGCCTGAAATAGCCATCGCTCCAGAGCGGCAAGGGCCGGGGCCTCCACTCAGCCTGCATTTCCGAGGTGGGAGGCTGTGACATTCGGAGCAGATTCTGCCACGTGGGTGAAATGCTGGGGCCCTGGCACACGTGATGCTGCGGCTCGTTTTCATACTTGACCCGAAAGGGAGGTGTGGCTCCTTAGAGAGGCAGCGCCTGAAGTGGATGCTGCTGTCCTCAGGGCGCCCAGGAGAACGCCCGGCTCCGCCAGGACCCCTGCTTCCTGAGGCAGCCTCACAGAACCCTCCTGAAGCTGCCACCACTGGGCCCAGGCACCCGCCCCTCCACTCCAGGTGAAAGACGCACGTGGCGGGAAAGTGGTTCAGGCAGTGGAACGCTCCCTCCCTGTCTCCCTCTCACCCTGATCTTAAACACGGCGCAGGCTTCTGGCCTTGCTGTAAACGTGCTGGCCTCTCCTGATGTGGCAATAAGCTGCCTCTACTGCTATCGCCCATCCTGCACCAACAGCACGAGGCCTGCCCCACCCCGACTCCAACCTCCTGGGGTGCAGCTGCAGCCCCCTTCCTCCAGGATGCAGGCGGTGGCAGCTGAGGCCTGGCAGGATGGGCGCAGGGAACCAAGGCGCCCCAGCAGACTCTCAGCGTGGCCTGGAGGCAGGAATGGCTGAAAGCCGAAGCCGAACGTGAAACTTGCTGACACCTGAGGACTGGCTTTCTCTTGAGGGTTCTGGGAAATTGGGCCCCAGGAGGGTGGGGACTGCCTGCTCACCACTGTGTGTGCAGGGCTTAGCCAGTGCCTGGTATACAGTAGGCGATCAATAAAATCCTATGGGAGGGCAGGAGGGAGGAAGGAGGTTTCTGGTTTACAAGTAGAAAATGATGTCCCGGCCGGGTGCAGTGGCTCACGCCTGTAATCCCAGCACTTCAGGAGGCTGAGGTGGGCGAATCACGCGGTCAGGAGATCAAGACTATCCTGGCCAACACAGTGAAACCCTGTTTCTATTAAAAATAATGTTGTCTATTAAAAATACAAAAAATTAGCCGGGTGTGGTGGTGGGTGCCTGTAGTCCCAGCTACTCAGGAGGCTGAGGCAGGAGAATGGCCTGAACCCAGGAGGCAGAGCTTGCAGTGAGCTGAGATCGTGCCACTGCACTCAAGCCTAGGCAACAGAGCGAGACTCCATCCCAAAAATAAAGAAAAAAAGAAAATGATGTCCCAGGGTGACCACGCACCCTGGCCACCTGGCCCTGGGGAGCGGGCCTCCCTCCCTCCACTGTGGAAATGCCAAATGAACGGGGCCCCGCGGCCTGTCTTCCTCCATCTCCAACAGGCAAGGGGCTCTGAGGGCTGCCAGGACGGCTGTTTCTCTTTATAAAACGCAGGTGATGGGAGACAGAACAGAGGTCCTGCCAGGTCTCCCTGAGCCCAGATGAGGCAATGGCACCGCCCCGCCACCCTTCTCCTGCCAAGTGAGCTGCCGAAGGGGGCTACAGAGAAGACCCCACCTGACCCCAGCAGCCCAGGGTGACTGCTGCACCCTGGGGCGACCGCTGGCAGGCGTGGCTGCAGGGCCGGGCACCCAGCCGCTGTCTGTGGGGTTTTCTCAGCATTCGGCGCCCCTGCTGCCCATTAAGAGCAGGTCTCAGAGGATGAATGAGAAGCCGTTCTTCTCACTGTGCACCGAGCACAGAGGGTCCTGGTCCAGAACCCCATGCTCAGAGAGTCACACACTGGACACCAATGGCCACCGCGGGGGCAGGCGTCTCCAGGAAGAGCTGGCATCACGGGCTCCCTGCTGTCCGTCGCCTGGTGCCTGGGCACGTGTGGCGAATGTAGGGTGGGCAGCCAGACTCCCAGGCTCCTGGCGAGTGGAGACCACGCGGTGGCCAGCCCTCCTTCCTGCTCTGGGAGGGCCTGGCGAGTGGAGACCACGCGGTGGCCAGCCCTCCTTCCTGCTGGGAGGGCCTGGCGAGTGGAGACCACGCGGTGGCCAGCCCTCCTTCCTGCTCTGGGAGGGCCTGGCGAGTGGAGACCACGCGGTGGCCAGCCCTCCTTCCTGCTCTGGGAGGGCCTGGCGAGTGGAGACCATGCGGTGGCCAGCCCTCCTTCCTGCTCTGGGAGGGCCTGGCGAGTGGAGACCATGCGGTGGCCAGCCCTCCTTCCTGCTCTGGGAGGGCCTGGCGAGGCCTCCCCGGACCCGTGGTGCCACCTATGCAGAATCGCCCCTATTATAGGCCCAGCACCCACCGCGAGGCGCAACATCTCTGTCCCCACAAAAAAGCCAAGCCACCTCTGTGGCCCTCCAGGTCAAACGGGATCAACAGGGACCTCACAAGCCCACAGGTTCCGGAAGCTCCCAGGTCGCACTGCAAGTGCAACTAAATGGCACCTGTGGGTACGCTGCCACGGCGCAGGCCACCACGCCTCGAATTCCACAGGTGACTTACCGAAGACCTGACGGCAAATGAGAAATGCGCGTCCTTGGAAACGCCGTGGGCGAGGAGGTGGCCCAGTCAGTCCCCTGCCACCTGGTCAGCAGGCTGAAGCTGAGAGGCTTGGCATAAGCCAATTACTAGCAGCTGCTCAGGCGCAAGGCCGCACTTTTCCCAGACAGAGGCGCTCTTTTCCCCAGCACGTAACAGGTCTTCCATCATTTTGAGCATTTGCAAAACTGCACAGCTCAGTCATGAATCCCAAGAAAGGACTTGATACCATGCCTCTGCCTGGGTGCCGGGAACAGCCCGTGGAAGCCGTCAGAGTCACCCGCTCACCGGGGCCGGCCTGCCCTGTGTACGTGGCCCCCGTCACACTCGCGGTGGCCCCAGGTTGAGGATGAGTGAGTGGTTGCTCCTGGGGCTTGGGAACCCTCACCAATGACCGCCCCCTCACTCAGACTCTCAGAGGCCCCAGTTCCCGGGCTAATCCGTCTCCTAAATTCCACCCTTAGGTTCTGTTTGTTTTTTAGAGATGGGGTCTCGCTCTGTTGCCCAGGCTGGAGTGCAGTGGTGCAATCACAGCTCACTGTGGCCTCGACCTCCTGAGCTCAAGGGATCCTCCTGCTTCAGCCTTAGGATTTTGTCTTTTGGCTCTGAGTAAATCTCTTTGTAAATAGTATCAATCGTTTTCACATAAACTGAGTAGTGGGGAAGACTGGGCAGCCTCCTGCCTGCGCCACCTGCAGTGACCCTCCCCGCCGTCAGCAATAGAAGTGCATTAATCGGATCTATAGAAGAGAAAGCTTCCAGATCAGAGAGAAGCAGCTCCTGGCCAAGTGTGCATCAAGAAAAACAAACACAGTCTAGAGTGGAACCTCCAGGGGAGCTGTGGTCCCTTCCTAGGAAATCACCCCTGTTCTCCGGCTCTGGAAAATAAAGTCGGCACCCAGACTCGGGGCTTTGGGTCCCTCCAGCTGCCCCCTGCACCACATGGTACCATCATCACACATCCCACGGACAGAGACTGACATGCATCCTGTGCCCTTTGACCCTCTGCAGAAACAGGGCAGGTGGCATCAGTGTCCCATTTTACCAATGAGCACTGGAGGCCCGGAGCACAAACACCCCGTCTAATCCCAGCCTGGAGACACAGCGGGGCTGGGATCGAGGCTCTGAAACCCTAGGCCAGCGTGATCTGTGATCTGTGACGCCTGCTGATTCTTAGCTTCTGCAGTTAGAGCCGGGAGGGACTCTGGTCAAGGGCAGCCAGGAAATTGCCCGCGATCACCATAAACCAGCCCATCAGGCGATGGGTGTGACACAGCAGTGCCACTTTGATGGGAACGACGCATTTTCTGCTCAGGGTGCAGATCACCATGTAAATCAGCCACCGCTACAGCACCTGCCTCGGGAGACAACGGGAGTCAGTGCCCATGCATCAGGCACTCGTCCTTCCCAGGCATCTACGAACACCGCCCAGACGGCATGAAACCTCTGAGCTCCTTCAGGAATGTTCCAAACAAAAAACCCTTTGCAGAAGGATGGGAGAGCCGCCCAAGGACCCCAGGCGGGATCAGAATGAGCTCCTGCCATCCCCTGCTTCCCTACCTCCCAGGAGTTCCCCTGCAAAGGGCTAGGCAGGGTTTGTTGACACGTGGAGAATGGTCCAGAGCTGGAAGAGGAGGGGAGCACACAGTAAAAGCCCCCAGGACAGTCCAGGCCCCCAGGCCCCAGCCTCGCTCACCAGTAGAAGTAATAGGCCAAAGCCACCGCCAGCAGGGCCACACAGATCCCTGAGAAGAGGCAGGCCGGGTAGCTGCTCAGCATCTTCAGCCCTTGGTCCTGTGCTGCCTGAGGCCGGCGAGGAGGGCCTGTGGGGAGCAGGTGTCAGCCTGGCCAAAGGGTGAGGAGCCGAGTTCAAGCGGAGGGATTAGGAGCTGGCCTGAGCTGCCCAGGCTTGGCAGGGGCCGTGGCCACCCAAAGCATCTGCTCAGCAGGAAGTGGGTGCCGGGCACTCCCGGGTGCCCCCTGCGTGGTGAGCACTGTCCTTCCAGCCACAGGGACCAACTCAAGGGACCCCAGGAGCACGCGGAAGCGGGACATACACACGGGTCCCTCCTCCTGTGCACGGCCGCGGGCTCTGCCGTTGGGGCACCGGCTAATCCAATAAGCAGCTTTCAGCCCGGAGCTGCTCGCTGTAAACAGGCAGAGTCAGGGGCCAGCCAGGATGCAGGTCAGCGAGCCCCGCCCAGCACGGAGCCCTGGGACCAGGGACCTGAGAACGCCCGCATCTTCCTCCCCACAACACCAGTGCGCCCAAGAGCCAGGTTGGGGGCGAGTCAGTGAGGCTGACCCTGTGCTCAGCCGTGGGCTAGAAAGATCCCAAAAAGGTCTCCAAGAGAGAGGCAAACGCCCTGCATGTGGGGCTTCACAGGGAACAGCCACCCAGCCTGCCGCACAGGCCAGGCGCCCGCGAAACTCGCTCCAAACGCAGCAAGGTTTGCTACACGGTGGTGCTCCGGGTCCCACCCATGGCGGTGCTCCAGGTGTTCGGGGCCCCCATGCTGGAAGAGCTGTGGGGCGGGCCGGTCTCACCCTCCAGGAAGTCAGGCACGTCCCTCCACATCTCTCCAGCCTGAAACCCACCCATCTGAAATGAAGGAGTTCAAAGGCGAAATTAGGCAGATGAGATCAAAGGACCCAGGGACAAGAGCGTCGCCCTAGGAAACCTCCGGGGGGCAGGAGGCCCCGACAACACACGTCACCCTGGGAAACCTCCGGGGGGCTGGAGACCCCGACAGCACACGGGGACAGGGATGGGGTGTTACTAAGGGAGAGCCCCTGGGGACCCTCGACAGCACACGGGGACAGGGATGGGGTGTTACTAAGGGAAAGCCCCTGGGGACACTCGACAGCACATGGGGACTGGGGTGGGGTGTTACTAAGGGGGGGCCCCTGGGGACCCTCGACAGCACACGGGGACAGGGATGGGGTGTTACTAAGGGAGAGCCCCTGGGGACCCTCGACAGCACACGGAGACTGGGGTGGGGTGTTACTAAGGGGGGGCCCCTGGAGACCCTCGACAGCACATGGGGATGGCGGTGGGGTGTTACTAAGGGGGGGCCCCTGGAGACCCTCGACAGCACATGGGGATGGGGATGGGGTGTTACTAAGGGAGAGCCCCAGGAGTCCTGACCAATGCACTCTCGCTCAGGGTCACGAGGCCTCAGTGGGATAAAGTGAAAGTCACTGCTCATGCGTCTCCCATGGTACCAGACGCAAAGAACCTGTCACCAGCAGAGTTTGCCCAGGACGCTCCCCCAGCCTGGTCGCAGCCCTGTCCCAGACCTGGTGCAGCCCCTTCGTGCTCTGCGGGAAGCTGTGGACTGAGAGGTGGGAATCATTCGCCCAGCTCAGTCCTGACATGCTCAGCCTTTACTTCTGTGAACTTGGTGGAGGAGAGAGCGCAATGGGGCAGCCACACCCTTCCCAGGCCTGGGGGAGCCCCTCCTTCCCCCTCACAAGGCTTCAGGTGACTGCATCCCCGGCCAACACATTGACCCCATGTGACTCCATGTGACACCCAGAATCGCCCGTTAAGCCACTCCTGGATTCCTGACCCTCAGCAGCTGTGTGACATAATAGATGTCTGTTGTTTTCACTGCTAAGTTTGTGGGTAACTCATTACACAGCAACGTAACAAACACGGTAAGGCAACCAGGCAGATCAATATGAGATGCACCATTTACTGGAAATATTGGAAATATTGGATGACTATTTATAGGGCTGGAGTTAGTGTCTAAACAAAATAGAAGATTTGCAGGCTGGGTGCGGGGGCTCATGCCTGCAGTCCCAGCAGTTTGGGAGGCTGAGGCGGGTGGATCACCTGAGGTCAGGTGTTAGAGACCAGCCTGGCCAACATGGTGAAACTCCGTCTCTATTAAACATACAAAAAAATTAGCATGCCTGTAATCTCAGCTACTCAGGAGGCTGAGGCAGGAGAATCGCTTGAACCGAGGAGACCGAGGTTACAGTGAGCACTCCAGCCTGGGCAACAAGAGCAAGACTCTGTCTCAAAAAAAAAAAAAAGATTTGCAGATTCAAGAATTCTGACTTCTAACCCTCAGTACGTTCCTTCTATCCCAGTGAGCAATGTTAACCAACTTAGCTCTCTAGTGTGAATGCACACCATGGAACCAAGACATTCATTTAATCCTGTCAGCAGGCTAAGAAACCCAAGAGAACGTGTGTGTGTGTGTGTGTGTGTGTGTGTGTGTGTGTGTGTGAGAGAGAGAGACAGAAAGTCGGGGAGGGAGGAGAATCGCAGCCCTCCCACCAGGCAACAGCAAAAGGAGAGCTGCTTCCTCCTTCCTCTGCAGTGACGACCCACACAACTTCCTTAGTCCAGCACTGTCTGCACAGTCACCCCAAAATATGCAAAAACGACCGGCTGCCCACACAATCTCTGCCTGGCACTTTGTTGTGGGAAGTCAGGGACCCTGAACGGAGGGACCGGCTGAAGCCACGGCAGAAGAACATAAATTGTGAAGATTTCATGGACATTTATTAGTTCCCCAAATTAATACTTTTATGATTTCTTACGCCTGTCTTTACTGCAGTCTCTGAACATAAATTGTGAAGATTTCACGGACATTTATCACTTCCCCAATCAATACTCTTGTGATTTCCTATGCCTGTCTTTACTTTAATCTCTTAATCCTGTCATCTTCATAAGCTGGGGAGGATGAATGTCGCCTCAGGACCCTGTGATGATTGTGTTAACTGTACAAACTGTTTGTAGAGCATGTGTATTTAAACAATATGAAATCTGGGCACCTTAAGAACAGGATAACAGCGATTTTCAGGGAACAAGGGAGATAACTTTAAAGCCTGACTGTCTGTGGGCCAGGCAGAACAGAGTCATATTTCTCTTATTACCGAAAACGGGTAAGATAAATATCCCTGAATTCTTTCCCCGGTAAGGAATATTAATAATTAACAGCCCTGGGAAAAGAATGCATTCCCAGGGGAGGCCTCTGAGTGGCGGCTCGGGGAGTATCTGCCTTTATGCAGATGTAGATAGGGATGAAACTCGCCCCAGTCTCCTGCAGCGCCCCCCAGGCTTGCTAGGATTAGGAAATTCCAGCCTGGCAAATCCTAGTCAGACCGGTTCTCTGCTCTTGAACCTGTTTATCAATGACAGTGCGTGCACAGCTGGATGTGGAAGTTAACTAGCGATTCTACTTTCGCCCTGACCTTGTGATCTCCTGACCTCCCGCCTTGTGATCTTTTGTCGCCCTTGAAGCATGTGATCTCTGTGACCCACACCCTATCCGTACACTCCCTCCCTTTTGAAAATTGCTAATAAAAACTTGCTGGTTTTATGGCTCAGGGGGCATTACGGAACCTGAGGACATGTGATGTCTCCCCTGGACGCTCAGCTTTAAAATTTCTGTCTTTTGTACTCTTTCCCTTTATTTCTCAGACCAGCCGACACATGGGGAAACAGAAAAGAACCGATGTTAAATATCAGGGGTGGGTTTCCCTGATAGCACTTCTTCTGACAAGACCCTGCCTGAGGCACAGAAGGCAATGGCTATGCAGAAGTCATCTGGTTTCATGGGATGCATCCTAATGACTGCCTTAGAGGTAGTTAATGAGAGACAGAGGAGTCTTTCGGAGCTTCAGAAAGGTTTCAGCCCCTGACAAAAGGCTGCAAAAAGAAATTTCCCTTTTCCTGTCCAGGCATGGTGGCTCACGCCTGTCATCTCAACACTTTCGGAGGCAGGAGGATCACTTGAACACAGGAGTTCAAGGCTGCAGTAAGCCACAATTGCACCACAGCACTTAAGCCTTCGTGACAGAGGGAGACCTTGTCTCCAGAAAAACAAAACAAAACAGCCGGGCGCGGTGGCTCACGCCTGTAATCCCAGCACTTTGGGAGGCCGAGACAGGCGGATCACGAGGTCAGGAGATCGAGACCATCCTGGCTAACACGGTGAAACCCCGTCTCTACTAAAAATACAAAAAATTAGCCGGGTGCGGTGGTGGGCGCCTGTAGTCCCAGCTACACGGGAGGCTGAGGCAGGAGAATGGCATGAACCCGGGAGGTGGAGCTTGCAGTGAGCCAAGATTGCACCACTGCACTCCAGCCTGGGTGACAAAGCAAGACTCCGTCTCAAAAAAAAAAAAAAACAAAAACAAAAAAACAAAACAAAAAAACTCCCTTTTCCTGACATCAGACTTCACTGTATCAAGATGTGATGGCTGGTGCAGAGGCAGCCACGATGTCACCTCAAGGAGACAGGCCTACAGTGGAAAGCAACCTGGAGGGTGGCCCAGAGGAGGAACGGAGATAGCCGGGGCCTCGCGTGCCTCCGCCAAGCCAAGTAAAGGCCAGCACGGAGGAGGTGACCTCTGGGGCTTCCCGCCTAGGTCAGCTCAAGGCAGATTCTGCTCCTTTCAGCTCATCCATCAGCGCCCCATCGAGTGGGCCTTTGGGACTCACACATATCTAGAGGCCAACTTCTTATCTACATGCTTTGCATTTCCCCAAATCCTAAAGTCACCCATGGGTACCCCTGTGATAACAGCAAGCCTCAGTTTTCTCCAGGGCCACGGGAAGCCACAGGGTCAACGTTCCCCCACCCAGGAGGGCCAGCCCCACTCAGGTTTGCAGGTGGGGGTGTTCTTTTATCTTAAAGCAGACATGGCTACCATTCAGAACAGTACGTGAATGGAGAATTCCTTTTAAAAACAAAACCAAAGATTTCTATTAGAGAAAAATGCTTGGGGGAACCACCATCCCAGGGACCCACAGCCTATTCTAAATATGTCATTTTTTTTTTCTTTTTTTTTTTTTTTTAGAAAGAGGAAAAAAGCGTATTCACATCTCAAAGATTTTAGCTCGTTTTCGGGCAAGGAAACAGGCCATGCAGTTGCAGATACACACGGAAGCCCTTTTTGCTGAGGCACAGAGGCCTGAGAGCCACTCCAGGTGGAGCTGACGCTGGACAGCCAGGCTGACGCCAGGCATGGCTCCACTCAGAAGCACTAGGCCTCCGCACCTCCATCCAAGAGCTGCGGTCAAGAAAAGGAAAAGATGTCTTGTTTTTGCCAAGGTATCTGAAGTCTCTGTGGGCAGCAGTCGGGTGAGCTTTTCGGCTGTGATGGAACAGAACTGTTACAGGGGCAGAGCTCATTCACAAGCAGGTCTTTGAAGACAGACATCACCAGCATGCCACCTGATTCTCTCACTGCGCCTTTCTCCGCTGGAGAGAATCCTTGTACACGAGGAGACAACGAAAACTTACAGCTCTGATTCCCAGGCCATTCTCCCGGCCATTCTCCCAGGGAGGCACTGCGGCCGTGTGGCAGGAGGGCAGAGGCACTGGCCCCACGGAGGACAGGAGTCCACTCTCAGACAGATGAACACTGCAGGTGTGCCCACAGAAAAGTCCACAGCCCTCGGTAGACAATGCCGTGCTTGCCACTGCTAGGGGAGGCTCAGGAGCCCGGCTGGGGTTGGAGGCCTGGTGCCAGGCGGCACGACGTCAGGCACAATGGGCTTGGGCCGCACTGTCCTCCCCTCTCTCTGCTTTTGCTTCAGTCCTGGCCTCTTTGGGCTGCAGAGCTGGGGTCCCAGCAGGTCACCTGACCTCCCTGGCCTTGGCTCCCCCTCTTTGAAGTGAGCGGATTGACCCCACCGGCTGTCCCAGGGGCGCCCAAACTGCAGGTGTGGGAGCCAGGGCCAGGGCCGCAGCATGTGAGCATTCCATGTGACCCCGCAGTGGGGCCTAGACCTGGCTTAGGAACAGCTGGGCGGGCTCTGCTACCGTTCAACACCCTGGCTTCCAACTCGAGCCGCCATCAGGGAAAAAGCCCGGCATGATCCGTGTGCTTAACGCACTTGGAGAGCCGGGGCATTGCCCCAAGACCGGAGCCCTGGCTGAGGCTTCTCCACTCCTTAATTTCCAGAGTAGCAGAGGTGCTGTGGGCCCGAGGCCGAGCTCCTCCGTGGCCGCCTGCGACGATGAAGCCAGGTTGCCGGAGCCTGAGAAGCAAGGCTGTCCTTCCTGCCCCACGCCTGGTTCACTGTCTTTCTCATGATAAAGAAAAAAAAATGCCTTCCTGGGAGAGTCATTCCCTTTCCATGTCTGAATAACAGATTCCCCAGATGTCAGGCGGACTCAGCCTGAGGCCCCAGAACGCCCCTACCGAGCGGTGAGCATCTGTGGGCCCGGCCTCAGGTCTCTCCAAGCTCCACGGAGGCGCCAGTGCCCAGTACTGAGTGCAGAGGCCGCCCTGCAGGCTGCGTCGGGATGTCAATTGACCTCTAAGGCCATTTCTCACTGTAAAAACTGCAGGGTCATTGTGGCTATGTTGGCCCTGCCCTCCTCCTGAACGGCTTCATGCCTGCCAGGGCCAGGCGCTTGGGGGCACTCCCAGCTGGGGACCCTGGCTCAGCCTCCCTGGGGCTGGAGGGAGGCGGGATCTGGGTGCTGCTACTGGGGGGCGCTGCCCCTGGGGATCCCAGCTCTTACACTTGCTTTTGTGGTGTGTCCCGAGCCTGCCTCCTGCTCCCTCGCCACTCAAGGCCACCACATGGCCCAGTGTGTGACATTAACCAGTGCCCACACAGCAAAGCGTGCTAGCATAGCACGGCACTTTCGTGACTTTGCTGAGCTCTCCAGAATTGGCAGGTGCTCCCCACTGCTTCCTCATGCTCTCAGCTGAGAAGTCCCTCTGTCCAGCCTCCACACTGGTTCTGTGCATGGCATGTGATTGGTGTGTGAGTGGCGTGGGTGGCATGTGAGTGGCGTGGGTGGCGTGTGAGTGGCATGTGTGGCATGAGTGGCGGGGTGGTGTGGGTGGCATGTGAGTAGCGTGGGTGGCATGTGAATGGCATGTGAGTGGCATGTGAGTGGTGTGGGTGATGTGTGAGTGGCATGTGAGTAGTGTGGGTGGCGTGTGAGTGGCGTGGGTGGTGTGTGAGTGGCTTGGGTGGTGTGTGGCTGGCGTGGGTGGCATGTGAGTGGCATGGGTGGCGTGTGGGTGGCGTGTGGGTGGCGTGTGAGTGGCGTGGGTGGCGTGTGAGTGGCATGTGGTATGATATGGCAGCACATGGGTGGCACGGTGTGGCTTGCTCTGTGCTGTGGCTCCTCCACCACAGGCATGTGGCCTCCTCATGCTCCCAACTACCTGAATGTCATCCTGCTCACGACCAGGGCTTGACCCCGCCCATCCGCAGGTTTCCGCTGTCCCCTCCTCCACCCCACCATTGCCGCACACCTCCTAGTCTTACCTTCCGGTTACCCTGCAGGGTCTAAAGGAAACAGTTCTTTTCTTCCAGGTCCTTTCCTCTCTCTGACACCTAAGCCATGCTGACTGTATAACCTCCTAGTGGAGGCCCAGCCTCCTGACTCTACCAATGAGGTTGCGCTGCCACACAGGCCAGGGCCAGGCAGCCGACGGCCTGGGGACTTGCGGAGTCTCTATGGCCTCTTATGAAGTCACCATCCCTGAGCATGGGCACAGCAAAGGCAGGCAAGGCCTGGAGGCCCCTCCTTCCGCCCTGGGGAGGTGGGCACAGGCACACTGCAGAGAGAGGGCTGGCATGTGGGAGCTGGTGCTTGGGGGGCTGGCACGCTTGAGGAGCTGGTTCTCAGGGGGCTGGCATATGGGAGCTGGTGCTCAGCGGGGGCGGCTGGTGCTCGGGGTGGGGGAGGAGCTGGTGCTCAGGGGAGCTGGTGCTCAGAGTTGGGGGAGCTGGTGCTCAGGGCGGCTGGTGCTCGGCAGGGGAGCTGGTGCTCAGGGCCTGGTGCTGGGGTGGGGAGCTGGTGCTCGGGGGGCTGGCGTGCCGTGCGCCTATGTGTGCCTGTTCTCCAGCATCCAGGTCTCAAAACCTCATCACCCAAACCACCAAGGATGAGCAATGTGGGGCAGACACCTGCTCCACTGCCCCTGCCCCGGTACAGCAGCCGGTCACGACTGAGAAAGGAAGCAGCACACCAGGCGCGGCCGGCCCACACCGGGCCAGCACATGGGGTCCCCAGGCTGCTCCAGACCAAGGGCCTCCTGCTTTGCACCCACAGACCCTGCCCGGCTACTTAGTTCTAACCCTCTGGCGTTTCAATGCCACCATCCACTCTCCACGTGAGGCTTGCGGCAGGCGTGGGAGTGCCGTCCTCTGGCTCTTGCAGCTGGTGCTTGGGCCTGTGCTTGGATGGAGGCCGCCGGGGCCTCTGGGTATCTGGTATGTGGCGTCCTTCTCTCCTGACTCTCCCCTCACCCTTCCCACGTGCTGCCCCTCCCGCACTCGCTGCTACATGCCGAGACTACTGGAGTCTAACACCAGTGCCCAACTGCTTCCAAGCTGTGCCTCAGTTTCCTCAACCATAAAGAATAACAACACACGGACGCCAGCAGGCTGTGGAGAGCCAAAGACCCCCGGGGTGCACTGAGAACAATGCTGGGCATGGAAAATGCCAAGAAGCAGCCAGGAGTGTGATGACATCATCGATACTCCCAACCCTTTCCCCATGGAAAAAACAGACGGCAGAGCTTTAAAAAAATACATGACGAAAGCAAACACAGACCACTGGGATTGCGGCAGACTAAATAGCTTCTGCATGACAAAGGGAGCGACACAGGGTAAAGAGACGACCCTCCAGCGAGAGAAGACCCTGCAGACCGCATGCCCGATGAAGGCCCAGCGTCCACGGGATAAAGGGGCTCAGACTCACTAGCAAGAAAGCAAACGACAAAGGACCCAAACAGCTGTGCCTTGGAAGGAGCCACGCCGACGGCCAGCAGGTTAACGAAGAGCTGTTGGGCATCACTAACCATCAGGGAGAAGCAAATCAAAGCCACAGGGAGGGGCCGTCTCATGCCGTTCAGATGGCTATTATCAAAAAGACGAATGTAACAGGTGTTGATGAGAACGCAGAGAAAGGGGACCTGGCACACTGTGGGGGAGAGAGAGGGTCCATCAGTGGGCCACTACACAAACTGTCTGGAGGGACCTCCAAAAGTCAAAAATGGAACTACCGGCCAGGCGTGGTGGCTCACGTCTGTAATCCCAGCACTTTGGGAGGCCGAGGTGGGCAGGATCACTTGAGGTCAGGAGTTCGAGACCAGCCTGGCCAACATGGTGAAACCCCATATCTACTAAAAATACAAAATTAGCCAGACATGGTGGCGGGCAAATGTAATCCCAGCTACTCAGGAGGCTGAAGCAAGAGAATCGCTTGAACCCAAGAGGCGGAGGTTGCAGTGAGCCAAGATTGCGCCATTGCACTCCAGCCTGGGCGACAGAGTGAGACTCTGTCTCAGAAAACAAAAGGAACTAGCATAAGGTCCAGCAATTCCCCTTCTGGGTGTGTATCTAAAGGAACTGAATCCAGTGTGTCGAAGAGACACCTGCACGCCCTCATTCACTGCCGCACCCGCAACGGCCGCACGATGGAGGCAGCCCAGGTGCCCACCAACAGACGAATGGATAGCGAGCGTGTGGTGGTAACAGTGTTATTATTCGGCCATAAGGAAGAAGGAAGTCCTGTCACCGGCAACATCACAGACGAACCTGGCAGACTTGACACTAAGTGGGTCATCAGCCAGTCACAGAGCGACAAACCCCGCATGGCCTCACTCACACGAGGAGTCGGAAACAGAGATCTCGCTGGAACTGAGAGGAGCACGCTGGTTACCAGGGGCTGGGGGCTTGTGCAAGGATGGGCAAGGGAGGTGCTGATCAAAGGGAACAGTTTCAGTTAGACTGGAGGGACGTGTTCGTGATCAGCCGTGCTGTGTGGCGACCAGTTAACAATAACGTATCGTATTTCAAAATCGGGAAAAGAATAGACTTTTAACATCCACACCACAAAAAACGATGTTGGTGAGCTGATCGACACGTTAATTAGCTTAATTAATCTTTCTACGATGTACACATAGATCACACGGTACTCCATAAATATACGCAATTATATTTTGTCAATTATAGATAGATGACAGGTAGGTAGGTAGGTAGACGGACAGACAGACAGACAGACAGACACACACACACACACACACACGAGATCCTCTTCAGGTAAAAAGCAGAACCTGTATGGAACACTGAGATAGTTGGAGCTTTTCACCATGCTCTTTACAGCAAACCTAGAATGTTTAGAATTATGGTTTTACTTATTTTGAAATAACGGATTTTGGTATAAGACCTTTGCCAAAATCCCCTTCCAGTGGTGTTTCTGATGAATGGGAGCTGCCCTGTCTGACTCCTGACGACCATGCTGGTGGCTGGGGACGCTCAACGTCAATCAAAGCCGAAGCACGTGGCAGTTCTCTGCCTGGGAGTCCCGCTAACGTGGCCGATGTGGTGTCCTACTTCCATGTGGCTCTTCAGCTTTTACCTCCACGTCTCTTTTTTAAGGTTAAGAAGAATAAAGCTCATTTGAACATATTACCCAAGCAAATGTTACAGGAATACAAAATCTCCAGATTGTTTCCCTGGACCTGAAAACTGAATGATTTATACAAAACTATTACAAGAGAAGAACCGAGTGTCTGTTGATGCAATTTCCTGGAGGCCTCCTCAGAGCCGCAACATAAAATAGCATGTTTTTAGGATGTCAATGGAATCTTTCTTCAGATAAACCCCATGAAGATTCCTCATTCCCTTTCTCACACAAGTGACTGAACGAAACTCCAGGTGTGATTAACCTCCCCTCACCCCAGCAGTGGGAGGTCACTAGCACCAGACGCGGGGAACATGGAGGACCAGCACGCAGGTGTCACTGACACCATTTCTAAAGGGTCTCTGTTTCCCTCGCTGACACTCCGCCTCATCCAGCGTCCGCCCTGACCCCGCGTCTGGACGGAAAACCGACCTGCAGAGCAGCTGGGCTGTCCAGTCATGGGGCCGTCGAGAAAAGGCAACAGCAAATCCACCCAGGGCCCCACGCTGAGTCCCTGACGAGCCTCAGACGTGCGTTCACCCCAACTCTAGAGCCCCCACAGCCCCTGCCCCAGGATCTCACGTAGGGGGGCCATAAAAACAACCTGTAATGCGGAACAGGAACATGCAGGAAGGAGGTGGCGTCCACCCGAGGGGACAGGGCAGCAGGCCCCTTGCATTTGTCACCAGCAGCTTGAGGACGCACGCCAGCCTGCCGTGGGCCACCGCGGCCACCATGAGGAGACGCCTCCTGCCGCCCCAGGGTGGAGAAGCTGGACCCTGGAGCGGCCCCCTGGGAATGTACCAGCAAGCCCTGCTTCCCTCTGCCCCCTCAGCCCAGGTGTGCACCCCCACCTCATCCCCGCCTTCCCCTTATCCCAGCAGAAACACCCACCCACCCTCACCCCTCCAGGCCTGCCCACTGTGGACACCCACAATCGGGGGCTGCAGCCTCTGAGTTCACTGGGCAGAGCCTGGTGCCCCCAAGGTCTGAGAGAGGCCCAGAGAACAGGGACAGTAAGAAAGACGATGTTGCTGAGACACCACGGCGAGATCCCATGGGCCACGCTGAGGTCGCACGGGCAACCCTGAGGTCACACTCAGTGGCAGGTGCTTTACACAAATGATCCCTCAGCACTCAGCACAGCTCTGTCCCGCTAGCTCCACTGACTCTGAAAATAATCCTGCCCAGGACCACAAAGTCACTGGCAGGCCCAGGACGGGGAACCGGGCTGCACTGGTGTTGGTACCTGAGCCTCCCACCCCACTGCACGGCGGCTCTGCCCCAAGACCTCCCATGACTGTGTCCCCAGGGGCAGGGTACCCTGGAAGGGGAACCTGACTTCTCTCTGCCTCAGACTCTCTGTGGAGTGATGGTTGACAACTAGTCCCCACTTTCTTCAAATACACTGATTTGTGACTTCCTGAACCTGAAAACATGGCTGGACGACGCACACAGAACCACCAGGACAAGGCACCCTGGGTTCCAGGAGGACAGACACTCAAGTCCTCTCTCTCCGGCACGCCTGGGCTGTCGCCTGGGCTGTCGCCTGGGCTGTCAGTGCTCCAGAGAACGCGTCTGTCACCTGCAGCCCAGACAGCGTCCGTTGCCTTTATGAGGTTAATGAGACGCTGGGAGCCTGCTGGGAGCGCCATCTCACCAACCCGTTTATCTGGATTTAGCTCACGCTCAGCCAGGCAGGAGCTGTCTCCAGGCCAGTGACAGGGGCGGAACCTCAACACGGAGAGTCAAGGCCCAGCATTCGCGGGCCCCACAGCCCCTGCTGCCCATCCTGCCCACCCTCTCACCTGAGGAATGCAGGCCGCACCTTCTCCCTCCATCCCAGGGAGGAGCAGCGTCCACAGGCCAAGCCCTTGCGAGTGTCCCCTGTCCTGCCACACACACTGGCTCTGGCAGGCCACGTCCAGTTCCGCAGGGACCAGGCCTTGCCCAGGACAGTGGCGCCCGGCGAGAGGCGGCTTTGCCGTGGCCAGCAGGCAGCACCGTCTTGTTCTGTGTGCCAACCCCACTTGCCCTTCACATCTTTCAATAAACAAATAAGGACACAAATAAAAATAGAAGTCCCACCGTGGGAAGGCTCCTGGCTTTGACTCGCTCTGGGGTCAGCGCGGGCTGTGGTGGCAGAGGCTCCAGGAGTGTGTGGTGACAGCAGGGAGTGGCTGACAGGGTGTCCTTCCAATCCACACAGGGACAGGGCGCGGGTTACTATGCAAACCAAACAAAGCACACACAGCCCGCGTGTGACCCGGAGCCAGGTCCGTCTCCTGTGCTCTGGAGCCCGTCGGAACCGTCTTATGCTGCTACTGCCGCACGGTACACGCCTGTACAGGGTGGTACACTGTACATGCCCTGCTTCCGTGAACGGTGGGCACACAAAGCCCCCCGCCCGCACGAGGCACCCGCCACAGGAGCAGCGGCCTCCTTCTGAGGGTCACGGGGGACTGGCCATCGGGGCCCTGCCACTCAGGCACCTCACACTGAAATAATGAGAACGCACATACTTTTCAAAATGTGGTATGTCTGGCCAGGGTGGCACGCTCTGCTTCCTGAATTGTGTGGCCTCCTAAAGACAGTCACAGTCACGTGCAGACAAGGTGGGGGTGGTGGGTACACACAGCTGAGGAACCTGCCGGAGCCACCCAGGGCGGGACCAAGGCACAAACTCCGTAGGGCAAAAAAGAGGACTGGCGTGGGGATACGTTTCAGCTCCTTGAGAAACAAAATTAGACAGCGCCGTATCTGTAGTATCCGTAGGTGGCCAAACACACGCAAACACACCCTCCTCAGTCAATCTGATGACGTTTCCAGTAACGAGTGCCCCAGCTTGAAATGCATCCCAGAAGGAAAACTCCTACATGGAAAGTGATTTCTAAACAAGATGTAGTTTCAGACATGAAATCTGTTGGAACAATTATCACAATTCTTAAAATGCACATGTATCAGCTTGCTCTGAGTAAAAACACTTAAAACCTAAGTCAAACCTTAAGACAGAGCAGTGAACTGCACGGATCACTGCAGCCTACAGGTCGGGAGAAGCAGAGGCCTCTGTCCCCAAGCGGGAGGCACTGACCCCTCCAGAGTGCTGCCCACGCTGGTTTGCAGAATCTCTTGATGAACCTTACCCTATTTCACTCCCTCCCTCGGGGTGAGGGGAGTGGGGAAACAGAACTCGGCTGCTCCCCTGAAATGACGGGGCTTGCCACCTTGCCTGTGTGTATATTCCTTAACGCTGTGTCAGCGTTTCTCAGCAGGCATTTTCAAAACAGTGACCACGTCAAACTCAGGGCAGGGGTATGCCTGGAGGCCCCGGAGAACAGGGCCCCTGTGGCTGGAGTTGAAAGCATCGTGCCCTTGGCCTGCCCCAAATCGTTCCTTCTTATTGTGCAGAGGAGTCTTCCGCATCCGGCAAGGATCACAGCTTCCGGTGGGCCGAGTGGTTATTCCATTTCTGCTGCGTCCGGGAGCCGTGTCCAGCTGGTTCAGCTTCCCAGGGCACCGGGCAGCAGGCGCCACATCAGCCCTGCCAGGACGCAACAGGCCCAGCTCCTTGGAGAGGGAGCGTGCGAGACCAACAGGAAGAGTTCCAGAATGTGGGGCAAGGCGTTCTAACTTGAGCTGGGGTGCCTGCTCCCAGGGACATCGGTCGCCCTCACCAGGCCCCTCTGCAGGCCAGGCCCAACCTGGCAGCTCTGTGGCCCCGCACATTCACTCCTCACGTCAGCTTACAGATGAGGAGACTGAGGCACAGAGAGGTTCAGCAACTTGCCCAAAGCCACACAGCAAATCCGTAGCAGAATCAGGACTCAAACCCAGGCCATCTCACCATGAAGTCACTGCTCCTATAGATAGGAGCCAAGGATCACAACCCAACCAAAGTGCTTATCTCGCATCTTCACTGGAAAGGAGGTTTCCCATCAGCTGAGAGCACTTGAGCCTCTAGCTGGAAAGAAGCCTACAGCGATTTAAGTCAGGAAAAGCAGAGAGGCGCCGGGCACGTGACACACGTGAGGCGGAGCTTCCTTTCGCTAACTTCTAAAATCAGATCTCAATGGATTGGGAAGAAACAAAAACTCAGTCCTCCAATCCACCTGGAGCCCCAGCCCCGACAGCCTCACGGCCGGGGAAGACAGACCCACCTACCCCTTCAGCTGCAGTAAAACATTTCAAGCAAAGAAACACTCCAACTTTTGAACTCTGCGGGTTTTTTTTAAAAAGATTTTGTAAATTTAGAAATATATATACCTACTATGTACATACCACAAAAATTAAAAATACAAGATTTTGTAAATTAATGGTATTTTATAAAACAGAGTAATACACCTTGCTGTAGAAATTTTAAACCAAGACGAGGTACATGGTCAGAAGGGAACGCTCAGCCCTCACCCCATCTCCATCCCCAGGACTGACCACTGTTAAAATCTGGTATTGGCTGGTGGCTCATGCCTGTAATCCCGGCACTTTGGGAGGCTGAGGCAGGCAGATCAGGAGTTTGAGATTAGCCTGGGCAACATGGCAAAACCTGTCTTTTTTTTTTTTTTTTTTTGAGACACAGTCTTCCTCTGTCACCTAGACTGGAGTGCAATGGTGCGATCTCAGCTCACGGCAACCTCCACCTCCTGGGTTCAAGCGATTCTCCTGCCTCAGCCTCCCACGTAGCTGGGATCACAGGTATGCGCCACCACGCCCAGCTAATTTTTTTGTATTTTTAGAGAGACGGGGTTTTGCCAGGTTGGCCAGGCTGGTCTTCTTGAACTCCTGACCTCGTGATCCGCCCACCTCGGCCTCCCAAAGTGTTGGGATTAATGGCATGAGCCACTGTGCCTGGCCCTCATTTTTATTTAAAAAAATAAATAAATAAATAAAGCCTGCGTAGCTCACAGAAGCTACCCCAGCAGTACGACAGAGCTCTTTTCTTAAATGCTGCAGCATCAAAACCTAGGAACGCGCAGTGGGGGCCGGGGTTCCTCTCGTGCACACGTGGCCCCTGAAGCTGCCTGTTCTCTGGGAGAATGAAACACCCGAGCCAACCCTGGGCCACCCCAGGGGATCCCAGATAAAATCACCCCCAGTCCTGCCACACAGACGCGCACACACCCTCCCTGCTGGACCGCCCCTGCTGTCCTACACGTTACCTGACGTGGTCCCCAGAGAAACAGCTTGTGCAGCCAAGGACAGGGGAGTGAAGGCTCAGTACCCCCTCGCCGCCAGTGCGTTACTCAAGAATGCTCCAGACTTCACTGCTGCCGGAGGACAGGGCTGCAGGGCTGGAGTCCATGTCCCAAGCAGGCATCTGTGTCTCAGGCAAAAGGCTACAGATGGCCTCTACCATGGTGCTGACCCAGCAGCAGAAGGCAAAGCCGCAGCCACCGTGCCACTGAATGTTCCAGTGGCCACAGTAAAACACAGAGAAAGGTGGAATCAACTTTAATGATGTGTTTTACCTAACCCAACATATCCAAAATATCACGGACTTCTCCATTGGACACTGAAATCCAGTACATATTTCCAGCTCTCAGGGCCTCACACGTGGGCCTTGCCACTTCTCCCAGGCAGGCAGCTACATGGAGCCAGCGGCCACCACACCAGAGAGGCCAGCTCTGGGTTTGTTACTCCCAGGACATTTGCAGCGGACAAGGCTTGGCCTGCCCTGACGGAGGAGGCGGAGAGGACTCTGGAGTCCTGCTGTGGCACGCCCTGACAGAGCTCTGTGTGGGAATGTGGGCGCTGGAGACAGGCGCAGGTCAGATGCACGAATGTCAGAGGTGCTCGAGTTGACCCAGGGTTACGGGGTGCAGGGGCAACAAGCCACAGGGCTACAAGGGTCAATGCCCCCTGAGGGGACAGAGCGGAGCTGGAGGCGCTGGGGCTGGGGCTGAGGAAGAGTCCAGCCCAGAGGGCACGGACTTGGAGACAATATGGGGTCTGAGACCAGGACCCCAAGCTCCCGTTCTCCCTCCCCCTGTTGTCTACCCACAATGACTCGGGTGCCTCAAAGTCAACCGGAGAAGACAGAGTTCTGCTCAGAGGCAGCCCCGCTGGCCTTACCTTTGGACCCAGGGGGCAGGTCGCTGGCTGGAGTGTGTGCACGGCACAAGGTGGCAGAAGTATGGGGCCCTGGTTTTTATCTGCCTGCCCAGGCTGGGAGGGGCAGGGCAGGGTGGGGAGGAAGGAATCTTGCTGGATCCTCTGTTGCCCGAGGAGGGGGGAGGACTCTGCCCTCCTCCCCGCATGACCCAGAGTCTCTGCAAGCCAGGACGGCGGAAGCAGCCAGCAGCGTGGCTGGGAGCAACCACAGGAGGGCCCAGGACAGTGCCTACAGCCGCCCACAGCAGCTGGACCAGCGCCAGCAAGGGGAGAGAGTCCTGCCAGGGTGGGCGCCGTGGCCGTCTTCCCATTCTCATCATCACAGAGAGACTGACCACAAGGACGTGATCAGGCCCCACACCTACAAAAGAGGCTGAGTCAGAAGTCGAACGACCACTTGCCGGCTCCCTGGCTGAAGTGCGGTGAGGAAAGACTCACAAAGAAACAAGCAAATGCCTCTGCTTACGCAGCTCAGGTAAAGGGTCAAAGACACACAGGACTTGAAATCCTGACCACTCTGCCAAGTCGCAGGAGGCTCTGGCTGCCATCCCAAAACGCACCCTCCCACACACCTCTCCAACATGTCAGCCCTGGACTCAGCCCACAGGGTGACAGCCCAGGCCCCCTGCAGTGGGGTGGGGCTCAGGGAGAGTCTTCAAAAGGAAAAGCCCAGGTATGCCCTTCTCGACTTTCCTGCCTGGAATGCAGATGAAACAGCGGGGCAAGGCAGCCATCTTGAGACCGGCGAGCCGCAGCTAGGACAGAAGCCGGGGCCTGAGCACGCAGTCGGAGGAGGCCAGGGTCTCTGGGACATGGCGGGGCGGCGGCCCCCACCCTGACAGCCTGACTGTTAGCAGGAGGAAGACAGATCTGCTACTCGTGAAAGTGCTTGCAAAGGCAGTACCTGCTCCTCATGGGTGCGGGCCTGGGGAGCTGTGTGAGAAGAAGCAGGTGTTTGTTGGTCTCAGTCCCTGGTTCCTGACACAAAGCTTATAAATTCCTTGTCATTTCCCGAGTGGGAAGGGTGACAGGAGCATCTTTTGTTCTATTTGGTTCTTGTACAAAGTTCTTAAAACCTTACATTTCCTACAGGATGGGAGCGTCTACTGTTACTCCTAACAAGCCCTGCCAATCCCGCCTGAGTGACAGGTGACTTGCAGGGCCCTCGACAGCACTCGCTGTCTCCCTGCCATCCTCCAGGAAGGACAGGGGCTGGAGACCAGGCTCCCTCAAAACTCTTGTACAGTGGGCTTCAGGGTTGGTGAACTCACCCACATGCTGGGAGGCCTGTGGACCCCAGTTCCCCAGGGACAGAAGCCCTGGCACCCAGGATCCCCCAGGCCTCACTCGGCACCCGCTTCCCCTTGGCTGTCCATCGGATCCTTCGTAACACCCTCTACAAGAAACCAGCAGACACAGCCAGTGTTTCCCTGAGTTCTGCAAGCCATCCGGGCAAGTGATCAAACTCGAGGGCATCATGGGAACCCCAGCCTCCAGCCATGGGTCACAACCTGGGATTGGCATCTGACAGTGGGGCAGTCTTGTGGGACTGAGCCCTGGCCCTGGGGGATCTGACGCATCGGAACTCAGTGGAACTGGGGGCGCCCAGCCGGGTGCCCTGGAGAACTGCTTGGGGGGGGAAACACCCACGCATCTCACTGAGGAAGTGTTCTGTGTTGAGCACGAGAGTGGAGTAGGGAGAAAATCTTTTTGTCCTTTTCACAGGGGACAAACTAACGAGTATTAAACTATGGATCCTGACATCCACACAGGCTGCTTCCTGAGGTGTTACCCCGTCCCCGAGTGTATGGATCTGGAGGTACATGGAGTGCCCCGCCGAGAGCGGCTCCCCTACCCCCTATTTCATGCCAGTGTACCCTCCTGCAGCACAAGGAGCCCTGCACTGGTGGTGTGCTGGTGGGCACAGGTCCCCGAGGCTGCGAGCCTCAAGGTGCGCCTGGCCTGGATTCCATCCCCTCTGGGAATGAACCCAGTGCTGTCTGGGTTTGTTCTGCTTGTGCCAGCGCAGACACCTGCAGCTGGTTTTCTTTGGGAAGCACACTCTTCACAAAGTCTAAAACCCCTGTGTGAGTGTGGGGAGAAAGAAACAGGGAACCCTGACACAGAACAGACGTTCACACTCCAGAGCCTGCCCCGCTGGGGACAGGCGCCCCATGCCCAGACCCCACACCAGCTCTGCCACCACCACTGGGCAGCCGGTCACATCACACAGGGAACAAATGCAGCCAGTCCTCACGGCAGCCCCGACGCTGACAGAGTGCCCTGCCTGGCACATGGCTCCAGAGCTGCAGCCCCTGAGCTGGGAGACCCCACACCGACGGAGTGCCCTGCCTGGCACATGGCTCCAGAG